GGAGAGGGAAGGCAAGCGAGGGAAAGTAATCGGGGCAAGGAGAACAGGGGGGAGAAAGGCCTCTTGCCCGTCAGGTCTGCGAGGCACACGCACACCGGAAACCCGCCTCACGTCCCCTTGGACCCTTCTTCGGGGGGCAGACCTCGGATCCCACATCATGTGACAGGATTGCCATTGCGCCCCGACCATGCCCTGCGGAGCGGAGGGGCCTGCCATTGAGCCGCGGGGGGCGGGGGGGGGGGTGCGCGGAGAGGCGAGACTCGGGGAGGCGAAGCCGCAGGCTCCGCACTAGACAGCCGTTCGAGTGCCCGGGCCCGACTGCACGGCGATGATATGCGCACGGGCAAGCGCAGGCGATGTTGAAGTCTATGGGGTATATTGGGAGGGGGGGGGGAGGGGGGAAGAAAGGACGCCACACGATACACGTGGCTCTGGACCAGGGAGGAGAGCAACTCAATGCACATGACAGTGGCCCGGTGGGCTCCGGCAACCACGACAGGAGGGGGGAGGGGGGGAGGGAGCGGGGGGAGGAAGTGCTCGAGGCTTAGCAAAGCTTCGCCCGGTCGGCGGCCGCCACCTCGGTGACAATCTCACGGAAGCGGTCCAGCGGGCAGAGGGTCGGATCGCCGCCGAGCCCGGTGCCAGGGTGGAACTCGGAGATCGAGTCGGTGAAGCCATGAAGACGAGCGGCCTCCGCGCAGGCGGGAATGGCGATCGGGGTGTTGTTGTAGAGCATGCGCACAAAGCGAGTGGTCTTCTCGTCGGCGCTGTGCTTGTTGCCGGAGGCGCTGGCGGCCGCCTCGGCGGCCAGAGCAGCAGCCGCGGCGGCGGCAGACTGGGGCCATCGGGGAGGAGCGAGCGACCGAGCGACCGAGGAAGGGGGAGGGGGGGGGGAGAGATGGGGTGTTAGATGGACTCGGAGGCCGAGAGAGAGAGAGAGAGAGAGAGAGAAAAAACCCGAGGGAGGGCGGCCAGAGTGGAAAACGCCCCAGGCGGACGTACCCCCTCCAGGAGCGGCGCGGCGCCGGTGCCGCTGACGCGCGACGGGTCCGACGCCCGGCTGGAGGCCAGCTGGCCCAAGCGCGCCGGCGGGGTGACCTGCCGCTCGCGCAGCACCTCAAAGGTGACGAAGGCGCCGAAGTCCGGGCGGTCAGCCACCGGGCTGGTGGCGAAGGGCTGCTCCCGGGTGGCGGCCAGCTGCTCGGGAAGATCGCGCGCCGGCGCACCGCCCGGACCACGCAGGGCATCATACCCGCCGAGGGCCGCCAGCAGGGCCACCAGGCTGTCCTCCGTGCCGGAATACAGCGACAGCATCGGGGTCGAGTGGGTGGGAGCCGTGACGCCCGACCGGGCCAGAGCCGCCGGGGCCGAGGAGGCAGTCACCGACCCCCGGTATTGGGCGCCCTCCTCCAGGGGAGTGAAGGAGAAGCCCGGGACCACGGCGGCCCCGGCAACGGCCACCGAGCCGGCCCCGTCCACCGGGAGCCGGCCAGCCTGGCGAGCCGCCTGCAGGGCGGCCTCGCGCGAGTCCAAAACCCGGCCCACATCATCCAGCAGGTCGCCGAGCAGCGGCCCGGCCGCCAGGCCAGCCAGGCTGGCATCGCGCGCCAGCACACCGGCCAGCGAGGCCTCGGTGGCGTAGTTCTCCAGCCGGGCAAAGGTCTCACCAAGGGGAGGCCCCTGCTTGCCGCGGCGGAAGGCCCCGGTCTTCTTGCCACGACGATCGACCACGCGGTCGTCATTCTCGAAGCCGGCACCGGTGGACAGGTGGCTGCTGGGCCGGGGCCGGAGCTCCCGCGGCAGGAGCTCATGCGCATGGCCCGAGGCCAGGCCCTGGAAGAGCTCGGTCACGGTGACCGCCCCGGGGGCCGCCTTGGAAGCCGGCACCACCGGCGTGTCGGGCGCCCGGAGGAAGGGCCCCACGCGCTCGGTCAGGAAGGCATTCTCCTCGGCGTACAGGGCATCCACGCGGGCCACGGCCTCGGCGAAGCCAGCGCGCAGGGCACGGCACCCGGCCATCTCCGGCACGAGGGTCTCGTCGACCGGATCGCGAATGACAATGTCCACCAGCGGGCGGTCGGTCGGGGGGCCGATCGGCTGGAGGACGGCCTCCGGGGCAGCCCGGCGCCGAGTGGCGCCCAGCTCCGACGGGTACAGCCCCTGCAGCAGGTGCACCGCCGATTCGATGGCCTTCGGGTCGGACAGCGACCGGACCGACAGCGATCCCAGCTCATGGCGCTCCGGCAGGAAGCGCAGCCGGCGATCGGCGTACAGGTTGCGCAGCTGGTGCCCAAGTGTGCGCATGCCCATCCGGCCGCGGTCGGTCAGGGTGTCCGGCCGGCAGGTGGCCATCAGCTCCGACGTGCCGGCCATCGACCCGGAGGACACGTGCTCCTGCGCCGCCGAGAAGGCATCCGTCTCGGCCACGTCGCCGGCCGTGCGCAGCGAGGAGTTCACCACGCGGAAGGGCAGCGACGTGCCGCCGGGGATCGACCCGTTCAGGGTCTGCTGCAGGTCCAGGCGGAGATTGGCCACCGGCGAGCACTCCCGGCAGGAGGTGGACGACTCGTCGAGGAATCCGAAGGACTTGAAGAGGTCCTGATGGGGGCTGGGGAGTGCGGCGTGTGTATGCGTGTGTGTGAGAGAGAGAGAGAGAGAGGAGCGGGGGGGGGGGGGGGGGGGGGGAAACGGGACAGGGAAAGAGGAGGGGCAGAGCGGAGGGCGCAAGCCCGCGGCAACAATGAGGCCGGCGTGTACCTGAAGATGCCCTCACGATGCAGGAGCTGCACATACTCCAGCTGCAGGCTGGGCGGGTAGCGGCGAGTGAGGTCGATCTCGCGGAAGGAGTCGAGCGGGGCCTGGAGGGCCGCCGGACCCGTGGGGGGGGCCTGAATGGGATGGGACATGGCGGAAGGGCAGGTGTAGGTGGAGGGGGGGGGAGAGAGGAAAATCGGGGGGGGGGCGGGGGGCGGCGCGGAGGAAAAGAGGTTGTAGAAGTCAGGAGCATAGCAAGCTGGGGACCGGCGACCAGCGGGGCACATGCGGAAAAGGGTGCCCTGTACACGTTTCCCCCGGAGCCTCGCGAAGCGCCAAAGGCTCCTATCGGCCTGGCAGCCTACGGGGCGCACTGGATGGGCCGGGCCCGGGAGGGTGCATGAAGCGTGGGCTCGCCCAGCTGGGCACACCCTTTGGGTCGTCCGGCCTTGCCCCCCCCCCCCCGGCCCCCGCCTTCCCCGTTCCTGGGCCACCCTTCCCCTGGTTCTCAGGGCCGTGTTTCCCGCCCACGCGTTCCCTGGGAAGGCCACTTGGAGAGAGAGAGAGAGAGAGAGAGAGAGAGAGAGAGAGAGAGAGAGAGGGCACACTCGCGGGCTGGCCGCCAGGCCTAGACCACGCGAGTTCAGCGGACCCAGCCGCCAGCTGGAGGGACATTGCGCCGGACCGAAGGGAACGCGAACGCCGGTGGAGATGCCCCTGGCCAGGGAGAGGAGCAAGGGCTGGGGAAATCCCCTCTGCCCCCGGCCCTCGGGCGAGCCGGGGCCCGCGCGGGGACGGGGCGAAAGCGGGTGCCGGTGCACGATGGCGAGGTGTGAAAAGCCAGGGCGAGGGGGATTCAGTGCGCGGGCTTTTCGGCCGAAGGTCGGCCCATGAGCCATTTGGGCTCAAAGAGCGTGGTGGAAGCCCCCACCCGCGTCCTGAGGGCCGGTCCCGCCCTGCGGGAGGGGCGGGGCGGGGCGGGGGGAAGAGTCTTGTCCCTGCCGCACTCCCGGACGACCGACGGCAGCTGGCGCGAATGGTAAACAGACACATCGTTGTGGCATTCCCTGCGAGGAGATTAAGTACAGTTAATCCCCCGCTCGGCGTGTATCACGCTGGTCACCTGGTGTGCCCAAATAGGCAGGAAGCTCCGGGCCGCTCTGGGCGTGTGGCCGCCTCCGCCCCCCCCCCCCCCGATATCGCCCCGAGTGTGCTTCTGTGTGACGGTGTGCTCGCGGCCCCTGGGCACGCACGCTTGCCCCCCCGGAGGTGGCGAGAGTCCACAAGAGCACACTGGCCAGGGAGAGACGGACCTGGGTGCTGTTCCGGCCGGTGGGGGCACCCTTCCCGTTCCCCCCCCCCGGGGAAGGGGGGGCGGTCCGCCACGATCACGGCCAGGTCCGCAGATCTGGTTCGCCCGTCCCCCCCCCCCTTTGTTGTCACCAGTTCCGCGTAGGCTCACCTCCGAGGGCACCCACTGTCGGGGGCGGGGGGCAGGACACGGGAAGAACGACCGCAGCCCCCGGCCGGGTGGCGATCTATCCGGTTTCGCGCGGGTTGCCGGACGCATGGCTGCAACTTATTGGCTTCAGAGCCCATGCTCCTTCACCCCCCCCCCCCCCCCCCCCGGGCCTGTCCCATTCACCCGGGCCTGGGTGTGTAGGGGGGGGGGGGAAGACAAGACAATAATTCACCATCATATTTATTCCTCGCATCCTGAGAACCAGCCCTCTTTTTTTTTCCCTCGTCGGTCACCGCCTTGCTGTGCATGATCCGACGCGTGTGCGCGTGTATGCGCGCGCGCACCGGCGGCCGGGTGTGGCCGGGCCGGGGGGTCCTTTTCTTTTCAGCACCCAAAGGGCCCCAAGCGAGCTGCCCACACAGCCCGTCATGGTCCCTCCCACCCCACCCCTCTTCTTCTTTCTCCTCGTCCCCTCCCTCCCTGGTTTCCGTCCCCCTCCTGCCGCCATGTCCTCTGCCATTTCGGCCTTCGAGCCGGTGCGGGCCCTGTCGACCCCGCCGCCCCTCTGCCGGTTCCACATCCCCCTGCCAAGTCCGATGCTCGTGCCGAAGGGTCTAATGCGGACCCTGCAAGACCCAGCCAGCTGGGAGACCTTCATGGAACGGCGCGCCTGCCTGGTGGAGCACATCGCTGCGCATCGGCGCACCGGGGCGCACACCCGCGCGCCCGGGCAACACAGCTATGACACGCTGATCAGCGTGCTGCAGGAGTACGAGCCGGATGCCGCCGGGCTGGGGATTGCCCTGCGGAAAATGCGCCAATCCGGCGACCTGCCCAAGATCGGTGCGCACGCGTGCACTTCCTGTTCTTTGCCCCCCTTGGTCTGGCGCCTCTGTTGTCGGCGTGTCCCCCCCCCCTCCCCCCCTCTCTCTCTCTCTCTCTCTCTCTCGCAGCTGACTCTCTCCCTTTTCGCACCTGCCCCGCCCGACCTCGGGCTCTCATTCGCTCTTGCCTGGTAGACATCGCCTGGACGTGCTCCCTGACGACGGTCTTCGATAAGCCGGCCCCCAGCCCGCCGGACAACTCGTATCTCGATCACTACATGGTTCTCAGTGTGCGCCCTCCGACCCGTGGCGCGACAGCCCATTTGACACGCCAAGAAGTTAACACTCTCCCTCCCATCTCATGTGGTGTGCATGCGTGCATGCATACATATATGTATATATATATATATGTGTGTGTGTGTGTGTGCTAGTGTCTGGCGTACGCTCATATGAACGCCGCTGCCCAGGTGACCCAGCGCTCCGAGGGCATCACCGAGCATCTGGTCAAGGCGTGCCACTGTACGCGCTGACCTCCTTCTCCTCCCTCTGCCCGTGCCTCGGTGTCCCTGCTCCCCCGACGCTGGCAGGCCACCTTCCGAGTGGCCCCCATTGACTCACCCTCCTTCCCACACCCCCCTCCCTCTCTTCTGGGGCGCCCATCTGGATGCGCGGGCGGCAGTGCTCGCGGTGGCCGCCGGCATCTGGCGCCACCTCGACGGCATGCTGATGGTGGCACAAACGCCCGTCCGGCGAACGGCCGCCTCGGTCTACATGAAGGCCACCGGCCTGCCGGCCCCGGAGTCGGTGCTGGTGCACTCCTTCGCCAATCCGGTTGATGCGGGCGGCCCGACGTCCCTGATGACCTCGAGCACCATGCGCTCTGGCGACTCCAAGGCCTCGGCCCAGCGCCTGGCCCCGCTGGAGGCCGACTCGCCCTATGTCGCGCGCGGCATGGCGGCCCTGTGCGACGCCCAGTCCTCCGAGCTGATCGCCTATGTGGCCTACTCCCGGCGGAACATCAAGCTCGAGAACATCGCCAAGCTGGCCAAGGCGGCGGCCGATCACTACTCGGCTGCAGGCGTGCACTTCTCGCGCCTGGCGTGCGTTCACCCTCTTCCCCGGTCGCCCCCTTCGTTCCGGCGCCTTGCTTTCGCCATGCCGTCCTGGTGTGAATGCGATGGGGTGTGGCAGGCATATTATTAACCACGCTCGGCGTTTCTCCCTCTCTCTCTCTCTCTCTCTCCCCCCTCCCTCATGCCTGTTTGTGCATCCATGCGCATCGGCCTTTGTTTAGTAATGACTCGTCGCTGTTCTCGCATGAGCGAAACTTCCTCCGCCGATACATGCTGGCCTTCATCACGATCAAGTACAATCTGAACAGCGCCCTGACCGCACGCCTGCTGGCCGAAGTCTCATACAAGGTGTACGTCTCTTCCTTTCCCCTGTCCCTCTCAACGCCCCGGGGTCCTTCTCTCAATCGGCCGGCGCAACACCAGCAGCCGCCATCCCCCTCACTCTGGCTGTCTGCTCTCGGCCCTGACCGCGCTCCTGCTCATGCCTATCTCCCCCCCCCCCCTTGCTCCGTCTCCCGCGCGTTCCTCCAGCAACATTGGCCTGTCGGTCGGATATCTACAAGTGGTGAACTCCTTTGCCAAGAAGGCTGCCGAGTCGCAAAAGGGCTCGGATATCCTGGTGCGTGCATGTTGCTCCCTGTTCGTGTGCGGCATATCTTCTCAGTGCATCATCAGCCGCATCTGACACGAGACCCTTCTCCCTCTGTCTTTCTCCCCCCCCCCCTCCCTCCCTCTCGCTGCGCGGTGCCTCTCATGCAGAATGTCAGCCCCATCCCGGCCAACGATCTCTTCCTCAGCGGGCTGGACCTGTACATCCGGAGCGAGCTGTCCACGGCCTCGTCACTACTTGCCTCGTGCGTGCGGTCCCTGATGTGCATCGGCTTGGGCTTCCCCACTCCTCTCTCGTCACTCTGCTCACCTGATTATATCCTCCTCTTGCTGCCCCCCCCCCCCTTCATTTCCCCCCACCCGGCCCCGCTTCCTTCTTCTTCCTCTCGGGACAGCCTCAAGCGCGAGAACGAGTTGGTTTACATGGTGGAGGTCCCCTCGGAGGAGGATCTCCCCTCCACTGAGGGCACATCGATTGTCAAGACGGTGAACTTCGTCCCGACCGCGCCGCGCCCGTTCCCCGTGGAGACCATCAACTCCGGTGATGGGTGTTCGGTGATGTAGATGCGCTTGCGCTTGTTCGTCCTACTCCCCTTCCTCTTCCTCCGCCTCCCACACCCTCCTCTCCCTCCTGCGGTGATCTCTGTCGTCTGAGCTTGGGCTCGCCCCCCCTCTTCTCCCCCAGGCGAGGAGGAGCCAGGAGCGGGGGGTCGGGTCCCTTCCACGAGCCGGTACACCTTCCTCAGGGATAGAATAGTGATCAGACATGTGTGTGTGTGTGTGTGTGTGTGTGTTTTGGCATCCCTCCTCCTCTCCCTCCCTCTCCCTCCCCCTCTCCCCTTCGCTCTCTGCAGGCAGCTAGCAACTCATGAATAAAAGCGTGCGTAAACAAAGCGCTTCTCCTCGTCGTGTGTGCGCGCGTGCCCTCTCCTGCTTCCTTTTCCCTCCCTCTCTCTCCCTGCCTCGCCCCCTCTACCTCGCCCTCCGGACCGTGAAGGGAGTCTGGAGGCCGATCTGGAGACCAGCGGGTAATATATCCGGCCCACGTGATGTCCCGTTCTGCTGCCTGGACACAGCCCTTTCGGATCCGTCCACTTGGGGGCACTTGGGCGTGGGTGGGCCCCCGCGCGCCTATGATGTGTTCTCTGTCGCAGGGCCTCTGGGGGGAGGGGGGCGGGGGGCGGGGCGGGCGTCAAGCGCAGCTTTCGTGGTCATGTCTCCCTTGGTGGGGGGAGGGGGCTGAACGTGGCAGGCACCCGGGGAAATGGGGCATCTAATGCTCGCGGCCCCGGGCACGCTTCTCTTTTGTGACTTTGCTCACTTTCCCTGGCGGCCGAGGCCCTTTAAAAGAGGGCTGCCAGCTGGGCCGAGCCCGTCCGGGGGCTTGCGCGCGGTAGAAGATCTCTGTCTGCTCCTCCTTCTGTTGTTGCTCAGACCCTTCCCCCCTCCCCTCCTGTCATCATGTCCCTTGCTCGCGTTGCTCTCCGCTCTCTTGCTCCCCTCGCCCGTGCTGGCGCTGGCGCTCGCTTTGCCGCCCCCGCTGCTGCCGTGCGTTCTCCTCCATCTTTGGTGTCCTTCTCTCTCTTCTCTCTCTCTCTCTTTGTATTTGTCGCCCCTCCTGTCGACGGCCAGCCGCTTCGATGTGCACGCGTGTACATCTGCTTATGTGCATGCGTTTCTACTTCGTCTAGTGTGTGTGTGTGTGTGTGTGTGTGTGTGTGTGTCCGTCTGTCTGTCTGTCTGTCTGTCCGTCTGTCTGTCCGTCTGTCTGTCCGTCTGTCTGTCCGTCTGTCTGTCCGTCTGTCTGTCTGTCCGTCTGTCTGTATCTGCTTGTGTGTCCATGTGTGGTATCCATGTCCTGTGTCAGATCTGGCCCTTGGTGAAATGGCGAGCCCTCCACAACGTATTGTGATCTGCCTGCGCGCTGGCGGGCTGATGTTCCATCGGGCCGCTACGCGGCGTGTGGGCATGCCCATGGTCCGTGCTCGTGGTCCTCATACCCCCGTCAGTCAGTGATGGGGAGAGGGGAGAGTTGAAGGCAGCCTTGCGTCAGCGTCCACTCACGCACGCGCCTCCATTCGGGGTTTGCATTTGTATCCCTCCAGTATGTTCGATCTGCTCCTTTCTCTCTATCCCCCACACCTGTGTGTGTGTGTGTGTGTGTGCGTGTGTATGTATGCATTTATGCATGTATGTGTGCCCGTCTGTGTCCGTCTGGGCCCGTCCGTCTGTTCGTTTGCTCGAGAGTCCATCTGTGTCTGTGTAGGAAATTCCCCTGCATATGTGTGTGTGTGTGCCTTCACTCCCCGGTCAGTGTCCTCTTCGATGAGTGTTCCGGGCCCTCTCCCTTCATTTTTCTCCCGCATCTCCATGTTCCAGCGCCGTGTGACAAAAGCACCGTCGCTGGGGCGCGCGGGGCAAGGGAGAGACAGAGTAAGCCCAGGGGAGAGCCCCACCATATCCTGCCCGCCCCCTTGGCGGGCGGGAGAGGGACAAAAAAGGGGCCAGTCCAAGGCTCCCAATGGACCGGACAACCTGGTGTGTCTGAACACGTGCCCACGGGCCGAACATTCTCGATGCCCGCCCGAGCGCGCCTTTCCGTCTCCGAGCACATACGCGCGCACCGCTGCTGCTCTCCGTCATTGCCGGGAGGACCGATCGTGCGGCGGCCCAAACGCGCATATGCGGTCCCCCCACGCCGCCCCCTGTGCGCGTGTGCGTGTGTTGCTTGCTCTCGCGACAATGATGGCACGCGCACTGGGCGCCCCCGGCGGCCCGGAGCGGGCCCAGGGGCTTTTCTCGCGCCATTAGTAATCGGGCGGCTTCTGGGGCGATATATGGGGGCTGGACACCCTTGGTGACCTCGGGCGACCCCCCTTTGCGGTTTCCCTTTGCCCAGTTGTGGTGGTTCACTTTCCGGCCCTCCCCCTTTTTGACCAGTATCGTCCTGTGTGCGGGCATTCCCCAGCTGCGGCTGTTCCCCGTGAATTTCTTGTGCTCCTTGCCCGAAAGCCACCAGGGCGGGACATGGCCAGAGAGAGAGAGAGAGGAAGACAGAAACTTGTGCTTGTTGCCATGGGGATTCTCCCCCCCCCCCCCCGCCCCACACACCCACATTGTCATGTGGTTCCCTGGGCTAGAGAGCCCCGCTCTAGGGTTTTTCTTGTCATCCTGGTTGACAATCGGTTCAATGTTGTGCGCGTTCGCGCGCGCACACACACACACACGTTGGTGTGCCGATTGTTGGCCAGCCTGGCAGCCCCCCCCCCCCCTACACTTGTCCCCGTCGGGGGCCGCACCCCAGAGGGGGCCCGCGGCGACACACGCACTTGCCTGTTGTCCAGTGTGTGTGTGTGTGGGTGGGTGGGACGAGCGGCGGACCCCCTGCCCCGTTTGTCGGGGCTGGCACCTGGGCCGGAGGGTCGCTGGGTGTTGAATGTGTATTGTTTTCTCCCCCCCGCAACGCGCACTTACTAAGCCCTTCCTTCCGCGTCTCTCCCCCCCC